AGTGAGAAATTACCTTTCTTTGGTCCTGAGTTTGATATTCTTCCTTTTTGTTTCATTCCATGAAGTTTCAGCCTATACTACGACCCCTCATATCCGAGATCAAAAATAGAGTGGTAACATTAGCAAGCAGTTAATAGTTCTAACTGGGTTTGGAGCCTTCAAGTGCAGAGCAGGAAGTGTGAGGGCAAGGGTTATGAACTCTGGTGGGGGTGGTAGTCATACCCTTCAGATCACCCTGGAGAAAAGAGAGGTGAATTTTGTTTTTAAAGGTCTTTGCCCACTTCTCAAAATAACTTTGTGGTATGTTTAATAAGAATGTAGAAAATTACCTTTCTTGGGGCACCTGGGTGGCTCAGTCGGTTGAGCATCTGACTTCAGCTCAGGTCATGATCTTGCGGTTTGTGAGTTCTATTCCCGCGTCCGGCTCTGTGCTGACAGCTCAGAGCCTGGAACCTGCCCCATATTCTGGGTCTCCCTCTCTCTCTGCCCCTCCCCCAGTAACTCTCTCTCTCTCTCTCTCTCTCTCTCTCTCTGTCTCCTTCAAAAATAAATAAACATTTTTTTAAAATTTTTTAATGAAAATTACCTTTCTTTATAGAAGCAAAACAATAGTTCTTACAACAAAGAAGTAAATTTCACAAATCAGAGGATACAAGGTCAATATACAGAAATCATTTGCATTTCCTATATAGCTAGTAACCAATAACTTCAATAACCATAATTGAAATAAGAATATGGACAAGTTACCATTTTAATTTAATATTGATTACAGGTCATTCTACTTTATAAATTAAAACTGGGGTGTTATAAAACTATAAAGAAAACAGTTTTTTTCCTCAATTGAATAAAAAGGAAATAACTCTTTGATACACACAAACATGCTCTTGAGTTTCTTCTTCCTTTCCTGTATAATCTGACGATTGTGCTTTTTAATAGTGGCTTGCTAATCCTTTTTAATAGCTCATAAAGTAAGTATTCCATAGTTTTCATTAACCTTGAATTTCAGCCTCTTTTTTTCTTAAACCTCAAAACCTACATATTTGGTTGCTGTTTGACTAGCACCCTTTTAGCCTGGTCGATGAAGCAGCAAGCCTACTGCAAATCCTAAATAACGTGGTGTAGATGAGAGCCTGAGACTTTAATTACATGTCATTTTACTCACAACACTCAATTCCAGGAAGGAAAAAATGACTTTGCTGTTGTAAAAGACATATTATGTGAGTATCATTCATTGTAAACCAAAAATGATACTGTATTAGAGCATAGACAACAATGGGAACTAATTCTGAAAATGTGACCTGTCTGGGAAACTGAATAATAGTGAAAGTTATCAAAATGGAAAGAAGTGTTAATGTGAAATCCAGCCTTCTCAGAAATACTCTTTCCTGGCCTGTTTGGTTTTGCTTTTGTTGCTTGTCATGCATGAATGAAAGTGCTACATACACTCTCAGGGGAGTAGGAAAGCCTCTGTCGGTTGTTTATTTCCTTAATCCCTCCTCCTTTGTGATTTTTGATGTCAGATCTAAAATGGAAAGCCTGTAAATATAATGATTATCACATGGATAATCACCTGCATTAGGAACCGCCCTGCTTCTCTATTCTAACCCTAGCTGTTCTCCACACGTCACATCCACTCTGCGGTTGGATTTTAACCTGACTGCTTCATTAGATTTGTGAAACTCAGTGCGTGGCGCCCTGGGGCAGCACAGATGGGGACATGCTTGTTTTCTTTTCTCACTTTCACTGCAAAGACACACTAAAAAGTCCTTTTCAATTTAGTGTGATCAGTTCACTTGGAATTAACCCTGATATTTGGAACCTGCCTTACTCTTCTGCCAACTGTCTATACCCCTTTTTCCTTCCCTACTTTCAGACCTACTGCCTTTTCTTTTTGTCCTTCCATGCAGTGAATCTGAGGACTAAAATTCTGGTTAAATTCTGACTGGGTCAAACTGTTACCCTGTGTTGTTTTATTTGTTTTGCTGGGAGGGAAAAATAAATGTTGTTCCATCATTGTATCTGCAAACACCTTCAAATCAGAGGTTAGCTGTGGGAAAAGTCTGCAGTGATGTGAGCCAGCTGCCTTCTCTAATGGACTGACTGGGGGCACCAGCTCAAGATCAAAAGAAGGTGGGAGGAAGTCAGGAGATAAGATCTTTTTAAGCCATAGAACAAGTGCTTAGCTTTTCAGTGATAGGGCACAGCTCTGCAAACCTGTATGAGGGGGTGCTAAGATAAAAAACTGAGTTGACTTTTTTGCAGCATGTCCTTCCTCAATCAGAATATGTTGGCGCTTTGAATAGTTTACAGATGTGGAAGTGTCCTAGGGCCTTGTTTCCTTAAAGAATAATGATCTGACGTTTATATATGTGTCTTCTTGCAATTAGTTCTACTATACCATAACAGATCATAGTTAATTTCTTCTTATATCTGTGTGAGCAAAACTGGACATTAAAAAAGCAATTTAACTACTATATGTTGAATTTTGAGTTTTATGCCTTAGTGCAGTTTTAGTCATATGGATCCTTTTATTATTATTATTATTTTAGAGAAAGAGAGCACGCACACACATGAGCTGAGGAGAGAGGCAGAGGGAGAGAGAGAATCTCAAGCAGGCTCCACACTCAGCACAGAGCCCAGTGTGGGTCTCAATCCCACGACCCTGGGATCGTGACCTGAGCTGAAATCAAGAGTCAAATGCACAACTGACTGAGCTACCTAAGCACCCCCATACAGATTCTTCATATTAATTTTGTCTTATAGTTCTCTGGGCTTCTTTCATGCCTCTGATGAAGATCTATATAAATGAGTCGTTGTAGCAGAGCTTTCAGTTGTCTTTTTGATAAAAGAATTATCTTGGTTAATTCTTGGATTGGACAGCTTGGAAAAATTTTACATTGATATCATTTGAAACTTCTCCTTTTCTTTGACAGGCCAGCAAATATTATCGACTGTGTGGTGTACTATTATAAGCAAATTGTCAAAGAGGCTTGCTTGGACCAATTGTTAAGTTCATAATTCAGTTTTTTTAATCTACATCACTAAGGCTAACTCAATCAGCTTTATGCTTCCCTAGCGAACAGCCTAAGGAATTGTACTTTCAGCCTATCACTTTCTGTTAACTTAAGTGTTTAGCTTGTAGTCATCTATTTCAACCTTTTCAAACCCTCAAAATGGGTCTTCAAATCTATATGTCATTAGTACCTCGGACCATAAGAGTGCATACATACTTTTTTTCCCAGCGTTTTCCTTAACATGTAGATAGTACCCAGATTTGTGCTAGAGACACTGACTTACTTTCTGCCTTACATGGTTTGGTGCGGCAGTCGCTTCAGTTGAGTTGGATCTGCTCACTACTCAGGCTCAAATCCCATCCTTCTATTAATATCTCTTGGCAAAGATAATTTTGGAGGAATGTACGTTAAGATGTAGAGGCTCTTGACAGTTGTCTGCAGTTTTTTTTTTTTTTTTTCATTTTCAAGAGGGAAGTTAAGTTGAAAAGTAATATTGCTTCTATTTTCTGTATCAGTCCTAAAATTAAAATATATGCAGAGTACAGAAAGAGAAAGGGTTTGGTTACACAGATGTGTTTTTGTAATTTGATAGCCTGTTTTAAGAGCATTAGTGGTTATAGTAATGTTCATCAGATTGTGCCCTTAAGATATTCAGGAATCAAGAAAAACATTGTGAATTTAAAATTTTTAACTATTTTTTTCTAATGTTCAACTTCTGTCACCCCTGTCATCTATATAAAAGAGAAATTGGGGAGGAGGTAGACTGTTTGCTATAAAAGTTTTTAAACAAAGTAAAAATACCGAATACATCTAGATTTAATCATTGTTAACATTTTGCCATTTTTACTTCACTTTAATTTTTTAAAGTATTATTAAGTAAATTACACATATCATGTCATTTTATTTCTAAATGCTTCAGAATAAACCTCTAAAATTAAGGACATTTACCTTATCAAATTAATAATTCCTATCATTATCGCCATCCTGTTTCATTATCAAATTTCTCTAATTGTCCCCAAAATGCCTTTCCTGGATGGTTTGTTCAAAACAGGATTCAGTTAAGGTCTGTACATTGCTCTTGGTCATTTTTCCCCTCCCCAGGTTATCATAAGATTGATTTATTGAAGAGACCAAGCTATTTGTCTTATAGAATGTCCTACTTTATGGATTTTTCCATTTGCTTTCTCATTGTATCATTTAACTTGTTCTCCTATCCTCTGTATTTTCTGTAGACTGCTAGTTATTGAATTAAAGTTTTGAGTAATTAATGTCACAAATGAGGTCAGAAAACTTTATAGGTGATGCTGTGTCCTTTATACTGCATCGTAACAAGGCACAGAATATTTGGTGATTCCCTATTAATGACAAAAACTGATAGGATTGATCACTGGGATAAAGTGATGACAGCTTGATCCTCTCATTATAAAGTTATACTTTGCTCCCCGTGACCAGCATATAATCTGTGATATTTTGGTTCCATGAAACACCCAGCTTCCTGTCATCCTTTCACCTAATGAATTTAGCATCTATTGATGATCCTTGCCTGAATAAATTTCATTAGGGATTGCAAAATGATGATTTTATGAATCTATACATTTATTAGTAGACATTCTTCTCTACAGAAGAGCTTTCTGAAAGGTATTGTTTCAATTAAAAACACAACCACCAGTATGTTCCTTAGGTTTCAAATGATTGTCTTTCTTTGCTGGGGTCAAAACACCTGAACTCACTGTGACAGCTACAGTAAAAACACGCACTACATCTTCTTTATTCCAACTTGTGAAGTGTGTTGACATTATGCTGCCTTTTTTTTTTTTTTCATGCCAAGGGAAAAAGAAATCTTTTTTGGCGTAAGAATAAAAATTGAACTATGTGGGTATATTGAGATAATTGTGTAAAAAGAAGACTGTATGAATGAGTTTCAAAATGGATTATTTCTTCATTACCTAGCACTTTATAATTAACTGTTCTTTTTTTTTATTTCAGGAAGCTGCCACTTTTGCTAGAGAGCAAGGCTTTGAGGTGAGTTAACCCACAATTGCACACTAAACAGATCCTAAAGGTTTTTTCTAGCTGATAATGAAGTTCTTTTGGACAGTGATTGATGTGCTATTATACTCTCAGAGCCTCGCAGCAGTTGCCATGGAAACTTGGCAGTCGTCATGGTTTCTTTGTTCTGCCAGCACAGTGTTATGACGCACTCTGCTAGGTCTGCACCCAACATCGCCTACAGATGTTATTTATTGAATTTTGAAAAGCCTCTTGGGAAGCCAAGAGGTTGGGCACGGTTTCAAGCTGCCTCTGCAGATATGGGGCCTGTCAGTTTGTTCAGTTAAAAAGCTACCTCATTAGCTGTATTACATTTCATAAGGATTCACTGCTAAAGCAGTGGTGGAGCAAGACTAAATAGTGAAATATAATGTCATTTAAATAATTTCACCCCTACCACATGTAGATTATCATTATGCAAATTAATTTCCAAAGGTTGTACTTAACAGTTGTTAGGGACTGATTAATTTAAATCCCACTCATATAAACTTCCTGTTTTAATCTTCTTTTTTCTTCTCTCACTCTCTCTCTTTTTCTTGCATAAATGTATATAAATTTTCTGAAACCAAATATCAATAATTGGTTTTAATTTCTAGGTCCTAATTTTGTTTTCCTAGTGAAAGTATTAGCTGTCAAGATTCAAAACTCCATGTGGTTGTTGTTGGCAAAATTAAGACAGATAACACCATGTTTTTATCTATATAATATCTATCTTCCAGTTGATTATTAGAAAACATTGACTTTAATCTGAACCCAGGTTAACTGACAGAATTCATAAACTGAGTTTATAAGTTTTATGACTCTCATATATATTGAGCCAGAACTATGTAGAATGCTGTGTTCTGTACAGCAACTTGGAATGTTGCATGGTACTAATTTTAAAAAATTAAACTAACTATTTACATGCTCAGTATTGTTGACCATCTAGAAAACCTGTGAGCATTGATTGGATGTATCAGTAATCTCACTTTGAACTGTTCAGAGAAAAGTGTTGTATGAATTTGTGATGGAACAGTTATTTAAATGTATTAAAGGGGGGCGCCTGGGTGGCGCAGTCGGTTAAGCGTCCGACTTCAGCCAGGTCACGATCTCGCGGTCCGTGAGTTCGAGCCCCGCGTCAGGCTCTGGGCTGATGGCTCAGAGCCTGGAGCCTGTTTCCGATTCTGTGTCTCCCTCTCTCTCTGCCCCTCCCCTGTTCATGCTCTGTCTCTCTCTGTCCCAAAAATGAATAAATGTTGAAAAAAAAAAAAATTTAAATGTATTAAAGGAAGATTCATTATCGAGCAACAGAGTAATACACATGCATGTTATCCATGTCATACATAGGACTTGACAGCCAGACATAAAGCTTCCTCTTCCTGGAGGAAGACATTGAATTTGTGGTTTAAGTATTCTATGAAAAAACTAGATCCTATGCAAACTAACTTTTTCTGTTTTCTACTAACTGGCATCATATTAACCTTTGCATTAATTCTTATTTACTGATTCTAGAATTGTTTCTTTTTACCATAAATCTGCCATAATTGATTACAGCATATAAACCAAGTGATGATGTTTATAATAGTATATCTTACTACCTTCTAACATAGCAAAACTGCTCTGTTGGTAATGTTGACAGTAATATGTTAAATTAGATAAAGCACACCATGTCTTGATGTTTCCCTTCATGAGTTTCCGAAAATACTCCAAGCATTGTAGAATATATAAGAGCCATGAGTAGAATATTTTTGTTAATAAATGTAACCCATATGTGGAATCCTATCTAGAGGAATTCAGTGATTTTAAAATGTCATTAAATTTTCCTTAGTCCATTAGACAGTAATAGGAAAGCATAAGTTTGAAGCTTGGTGTTTTTAAAGAATCAAAAAAGAATAAATCACTTTATCTTAACACTTTAATATCTATAGAATCGCTTCTCAGCCTTTTGGCTAAGATCAAGTGTAATACCTATAGAAATGTGTCAGTGCTCTCAGGTCTACTGTGACAAACTAGACAAAATCTGCATTTTATCCCTCTCAACTTTAATTTTACCTCTAAACTGGGGCACGAGTGAGGAAAGAAATGAAAAGATTAAAAAGAAAGGTGAGCATTTTTTTTTCTACTGGCTGTGCTGTTCTACCATCATTTCTATTATAAATCCCAATCAGTTCCCAAAGCCACTGAATATTGCAACTAGTGATATGTCTGTTAACAGACCAGTCCAAAAGCCTCTAAAAATAACCAGTATTTATTTATCAGGAAATATCTTCAGTAGCATTGTTTATGATATTCTGGTTAGCTTCTCTGCAAATTTTAGATAATCTTTCTTTTTTAAAAAATCTTTAATCTTTAAAATGAATTGGGCAATTTTCAGTAAGAAGAGGCAGCTTAGGAGGGCACTGGAGAATGAGATAAAAACTGGAGCTGGGCAAAGCACAAAGCAGAAGAGAGAGGATATATATATATATATATATATATATATATATATATATATGATGGAAAATTGCATAGTGCCTGATTCAAATGACAGACCTGCTAAGAATTTAAAATGACAATTCTTGAGGTAAAAAGTTTCATGAGGCCTTTTATTATTCTGGAAAATCAGTTCAGACTGCAATGTGTTTTTAAATCTACTTTATCTTGAACTGAACCAATTAAAGGTTTATATTTTTAGAACCCAAATAAAAATAAGATACTTAAAAATATGTTTCATTATTAAACCTTTTAAAAGCAGTATTGAAAATTGATTTAAATTAAATAAAGAAAATACCTCCAAAACTTAAATATAATATTCTTTGTATTTTCATCCTTTGTGCAATAGACCATGTGCCAAATGATGAAAATAATACATACCTTCTCTGCTGAGTCATTTATTCAGTTTTACTCCAAGCAATGAATTTTAGTTTTATTTTAGATCTCTAAGATACATTACTTCTGACCATAGAGAAAACAAAGCAATCGTTTTCCCTTTTCCAACTTCCCCACAGCCCCTGACTCTATCCAGAGGATCCTAGGCTTGTAATCTGTATCTGACCATTGATGACTGTATGATCTTATACCACTGAGACAGGAAAGTTTTGAATTGTGCTATCCAATACAGCATCTGTTAGCCACAAAATTAATTAAAATTAAATAAAATTTAAAATTCAGTTCCTAAATCTCAGTAGACAGATTTCAAGTGCTCTCTATAGCCTTTGTAGCTTGGGACTGCCATATTAGTACAGATATAGATCATATCTACCATCACAGAAAATTCCATTGATCAGCATTGGATAGAAAGTCCATAGAGTATTCAGGAGGTATTGATTCCCAAAGAATTCTCCAAAATTTTCTGAGGTTCTTGTGTTCCTCACAAATGCAAAGGATACAATGAATGATCACCTAGAGTTTCTGGAAATAAGACACTAAGTTAGGTCCTGCTGGCTAAGAGAGTACAATGCAGCTTTTCTAGGTGACTAAGTCCCCAAAGAGGACAGTTGTTTTTTTTTTTATTAAATATATTTTATTGTCAAATTGGTTTCCATACAACACCCAGTGCTCATCCCAACAGGTGCCTTCAAAGAGGACAGTTTTATTTTTTTTTTAATTTTTTTTAACGTTTTTATTTATTTTTGAGACAGAGAGAGACAGAGCATGAATGGGAGAGAGGCAGAGACAGAGGGAGACACAGAATCGGAAGCAGGCTCCAGGCTCTGAGCCATCAGCCCAGAGCCCGACGTGGGGCTCGAACTCACGGACCGTGAGATCGTGACCTGAGCTGAAGTCGGACGCTTAACCGACTGAGCCACCCAGGCGCCCCAAAGAGGACAGTTTTAAAACAGTAGATTAACAGAAAGAGATAAGATAGTCTTTTAATTATCTTCATTTAATCATTTGTTCATTCAGTAAATAGTTACTGAGCACTAACTCTGGGCCTAACACTCTGATAGACCCTAAACTCAAGATAGAAGTGACCAGAGAGTATACTGTGAAGGAGAACATGGGAGGGGTTCTTATTTTAGATATGATAGTCATAGAATGACTCTCTGAGGAAAGTAAAACTTGAAAAATATGGATATCTAGCATTGACAGAAAAAAACAAAACAAAGAAACAACAGGGAAACAAATTTCAAACAGAGGGAACAAGAGTACACAGTCCCCCAAAGGAGAAGGAGCATAATGTACTGTGTAGTCCAAGAGCTGAGAGAAGGCCAATGTGCCTGGAATGAAGAGAGGAGAAAGAGGTAGTAGGAGATAAGACTGGACACTGACACATCACGTGCGCACCATAATTATTATAGGAGTTTCTATTTGGAAAACAAAAGAATGTGATATGGTTAAGTGAGGCACTGTGGGAACCCCACAATTGGTATTCTCTAGGAGTAGGTAGATTGTGACAGTATTAACATGTGGATCATCAGCTTGTTAAAAATGGAATGAAGAGGGTATATTCTTTAATTTGGAAGACAATGCTAAATTTAAGGTGTGTGATCACCAGTGACAATAAAAGCATAATTTAGCATTTATAAAATGCTTCACAGTTTATGAAACCTTTTCCAACATATAATTAATACATTTAATATTCACACAAGCCTTTTGGGGTTAAGTGGGGCATGTATTGCCCTATCAGTTCAACAGATGGAAAATAGGCTACATGACTTGTGCAGGATCACACATAGCTAATATATAATGGAGCCAGAACCAGAGCCAGCTCTTTAAGTCTTGTACTCTTTACTATACAAACTACACTTCTTTCTTTCTCACATCCTAACATATTGGAGGAGGAGATTAGATTTCCAAATGACCTTGGAAAATGAAAAATATCTTGAAAGTTAAAAACTGAAATCACTAGGGTAAAATACAAGCCAGAATAATTAAGAGAAAAAAAATAGCAAACTTAAATACAGGATCATCAGTGACTTGTGCATGTGACAGAAAAATGATTTCCATTGAACATGCTATCATTTTGTGATAACAACAGAAAACACATTGCCAGAATTCAAAGAAGCAGTATAATCTGTGGAGCATGGAATATTGGTTAAGGGTATAATTTCTGGAGTCAGGCTTTGTAGATGCTAGCCCTGGTTGTACACTTAGAATATTTATGACCTTAAGAAGCTTCTTAACTTCTCCGTGACTCAATGTCTTCACCTACAAAATGAGGATATAGTAATAATACCTACTGCCATAGAAGTTAAGATTTAATGAGCACTTTAGAGCTACATACATGGCTCATAACTAAATTATATGAGCTTTCTTCTACTCTTTCCCCTTTTTCCTTTTTCTCCTCCCTTATTAGATACTATAATTGAATTCCCAATACTCAAAACTCTTGAGGTCCTTTCTAGAGATTTTGGGGCAACCGCAGGATATGAGTTTTGGAGAGTATTAAAGATGGTTATTAGAGGAAAGAAATGAACATTTATTAAGTACTTAGCACTTGTTAAATATGGCATTAAGCTCTTTCACTTACCTTCTTTCATCCTCACAACAATTATTTTCAACTTTTTATTTTGAAATAATTCTAGAAATAATTCTAGACTTAGAAAATTTGCAAAACTAGTACACTCAGCTTTCCCTAATGTAACATCTTACACAGGTGAAGGTATATTGATCAAAACCAGAAAATTAACATTAGTGTGATACTGGTAACTGAACTACAGTCCTTATTCTGATTTCACCAGTTTCTTCTTAATTTCTTTTCTCTGTTCAAGAATCTAATCCAGGAAAACAAATTGCATTTGTCATGTCTCCTTTGTCTCTTCCTATCTGTGACAGTTTCTCATTCTTTTCTTGTTCATGATCTTGATCCTTTTGAAGAATATTTGTCAATCATTTTATAGAATATCCCTCAATTTGAGTTTCTCTGATATTTTCTGTTAATTAAGTTGAGGGTATGCAATTTTGCCAGAAATACCACAGAGGTGATTTGCCCTTCTCAGTGCATCATTATCAGGAATATAAATGATGTCCCATTGTCTTACTTATTTGTCTTACTTATTGTTGGTGACATTAACTTTCGTCACTGGGTTAAGGTGGTATTTGCCAGTTTATTTTTTGTAAAGTTACTATTTTATCACTGCATTTAATAAACATCTTGATGATATTTGGGGACTGTACAAAAATCTTGTTTCACCTACTAATTAAAATTTGTAATGAGTAAGTATCTTAGGGGAAATACTTTGAGACTATGCACATATCCTGATTCTCTTCAAATTTTTGCCCACTAATTCTAAGCATATTTCTTTCTTTTTTTAAATATTTATTTATATTGAGAGAGAAAGAGCAAAGGAGAGACAGAGAGAGGGAGAGAGAGAGAATCCCAAGCACTCTGCATGGTATCAGCACAGATATCAGAACTCGAACCCACAAACTGCAAGATGAGCTGGAACCAGGAATTGGACACTTAACTGTCTGAGCCACCCAGGCACCCCACTTCCCAACATCTTTTAGCATAAATATTTTCTTAGTTTTATAGATGAGGAAGTGCAGCCTCACAAAGGTTTATTTACCTACTCAAAGTACACAGATCTAGGTGTGTCACACTCTCAAGTCCTTGTAATTTCATAATTCTGTTAAGATGCTAGCGCAAGTATAAGAGAGAAGAATCTATGGGGGAGGTGGGGGTGGCTGCAGAACTAGGAATATATAACTTTGAGAAAACAAAATTGAGGTTTTAAGAAAAGTTTCCATCCTAGATTGGGCTCAACTATTGAAGCCAAAGCAGTGGCTCTTCGAGGCACAGTAAGAAATTTAGATCTGGTATTACTGACAGTGATTGCAGAGTGACAGAAGGATTTTGTATGAACCGTGGACATGGATACAATTAGAATAAAGTTTAACCATTCTGTAAAGATTTGTGTTTTATATTTGGGAAATTTATTTCAATCTTGAATTGCCAGTTTTATAAAATTTAATTTGAGACATAAGAAAGGTTTCTTTGATTAAGTTACTCAAACTCCCATAAAATATATATATCTTCCCATTGGCCAGAAGACAACTGTGGAATCTCATTCTTAATTTATTCCTTATACCACATTGAAGACCTCTATTTAAAAAACATCCACTACATACATCGGATTCTGATGATGATTGATTGATTGAATGTGGCTCTGGGCTTTGCCCCTTTATCTTTACTAAATATGAACTGTACCCAATCAAGCAAAAATCGACAGTAGTAAAACTTAAGTGTGCTAAGGAGATTGGGAGAATATATGTCAGTCATTTTAATTAATGTATACATTTATTTGAGAGAGTGAAAATGTCATTATGTGGCCTTTGTTTTTCTTTTTTTAGTCCTTTCAGCTGTTACTAGTCATTTCTGATAGTCTTTCCCTAAAACTGAGGGAATTCCTTTTCTCAGATATCAGAGTTCAGGCTTAGTTTTGTTCTAAAATAAGCAACCCAAAGTGAAACAGTCAGCATGTTTGAAAGGTCAGCAGCATTGTCTTACCATACGTGGCTATTCTTTTCAAAAACAGCAGTGGTCCGGAATCGTCATGTTAGGTGCAGTAGAAGCTTGGATTCATGTATTATCTGGAATTTCTTAAGTATGCAGTGAACAAACAACATCGAATATTTCACTAAAGATTTTCATACCTTTAAAAATGTCATAGTTGCTGATGTTCTTTGTAACCATTATGACTTGTCTACCTTGATTACCTAAATTTTTCTGTGCTGTATATTCTAATTCACTTCCTTGATACCAGTCATATATTTCTCCTCTAGTATGTGTTTCTCTCTCCATAACTGTTTGAAACTACACACGAGAGAGTACCAAAAAGGCCAAACCATGCATGGTTTAGAGGGCCACTGAATTCAGACATGGATTTTTTAATTATTTTAAAATTGCTGAAAACATGATTCCAAGAATCCTACTGATAATAGCTCAAGAGTTAGATTTCAAATCAGAACAGTTAAGATGTAAAACTTCATGGCCTATGTGATGTGAAAAATAGCATCAGTTTTCTAGAATTAATTTGTTATTTTTTTAACTTTATCTTCTTTAAATAAAATTAAGTCTGTAGGAAATAGCATCTCTTTCATTTTTCTTTGAAAATTTTGGCATTTTAGCAACATTATTTCCAGAGTCAGCATAATTCTGTAAACCTCTAAAATAATTCAATATTCCTTTTTTATTTTTTACAAATCTCTCTTTAACTGGAAATTTGAATATTGGCTATTTGCTGCTATTAAGAAATTATTAATTTAAAAAAATATACTAGTATGTGGTTATGTTTAAACCATTACCTCTCAGGGATACATAATAAAACATTTATGGATAACATTATTTTGTATCTGGGATTTGCTTGAGAATAATATGAAAGGCAAGTGGGTAAAACTATAGATAAAAATTATCACAAATTTAAAATTGTTGGGGCCACCTGGGTGGCTAGGTTGTTTAAGGGGCTGACTCTTGATTTCAGCTCAGGTCGTGATCTCACAGTTTGTAGAATTGGGCCTAGCATCAGCTTGGGATTCTCTCTCTCCTTCTCTCTCTCTGCCCCTCCCCTGCTCATGGTCACACTCTTTCTTTCTTTCAAAATAAATGAATAAACTTTTTAAAAAAATAAATAAAATGTTTTCAACTTGATGGTGGGTTCCTTGGAGGTTATTGTACTATTCTATTTACTTTTGTATGTAGTTAAAATTCTTATAGTAGGGGTACATATCTCTCCTATTTTGAGCATGAGAAGCTAAATCCTTAAACTACTAGTAAGTTTTGCTTTATTGTACTGGTTATGAGAACTTTTTCCTCTTCTCTATTAATAGACTGAAGACATTAAAGAAATAGCCAAAAAGACACAAGCTCTGCCAAAGGTGAATCCGAAGAGGCAGCGAATCGTGATTTTCACCCAAGGAAGAGAGGATACTATAATGGCTACAGGTACATGTGGAAATTGTATGAGAAACCCAGTATTATGAAGATTAATTGTAACAAAATTCTATATTCTTGATATTATAATTTATTTGAAAATAGCATACTTTCTTTTCTGTTTTTTTACCACCTTCATGCATTTCACTGACCCCATCCCCACCCCTGCCTTTGGCAAACACCTATCTGTTCTCTGTATTTATGAGTTCAGTTTTGGGGTTTTTTTATTTTTTGTTTGTTTCTTTGTTTTAGATTCCACATACAAGTGAGATCATACAGTATTTTCTTTCTTTCTCTGAGTGATTTCACTTTGTATAATGCCCTCAAGGTTCATTCATATTGTTTAAATGGCAGGATTTTCTTCTCTTTTTTTTATGGCTGACTGATATTCCATTGTGTCTGTGTCCATTGGATACTTAGCTATTGTCTTAGCTATTATAAATAGTGCTGCAATGAACATGGGGGCATAGATTTCTTTTTGAGTTAGTGTTTTTGTTTCTTTTGGATAAATACCCAGAAATGGAATTGCAGATCATATGGTAGTTCTATTTTTAATTTTTTGAGGAACGTTCATACTGTTTTTCTATAGCGACTGCACCAATTTACAGTCCCACCAACAGTACATAAGTGTTTCTTTTTCTCCGTGTCCTCACCAACATTTATTTCTTATCTTTTTGATAATAGGCATCCTAACAGCTGTGAGGTGATATCTCATTGTGGTTTTGATTTGCATTTCCCTGATGATTGCTGATGTTGAGCATCTTTTTGTGTACCTGTTGACCATCCATAATAATGATCTAGTTTCATTCTTTTGCATGTGGCTGTACAATTTTCCCAGCACCATCTATTGAAGACTGTCCCTTCCCCATTGTATATTTTTTACTTTTTTGTCATAAATTAATCATTTAGGGATGGGTTTATTTCTGGACTCTCTGTTATGTTCCATTGATACATGTGTCTGTCTGTTTTTATGTAAGTACCATACTGATTTGATTACTAGATCTAATATAGTTTGAAATCAGGAAGTGTGATGCCTCCAGCCTTGTTCTTCTTTCTCAAGATTGCTTTGACTATATAGGGTCTTATGTATTTCTTTTGATGGTTAGTTGGTTGGGGTTCTTTTTTACTATTTTTACCCTCCCCTCCCCCCGCCCAGACTCTTTTTGTGGTTCTGTATAAATTTTAAGGTTGTTTGTTCTATTTCTGTGAAAATGTACCTTTTGTAGTGTTTTTATTTTAATTTATTTTAAGTTTACTTATTTATTTTGAGAGAGAGAGAAAGCAGGAGAGGGGCAGAGAAAGAGAGGGAGAGAGAGAATCTCAAGCAGGCTCTACACCATCAGCATGGAGCATATGCGGGGCTTGAACTCACAAACTGTAATATCATAACCTGAGCCGAAGTTGGACACTTAACCTACTGAGCCACCCAGATGCCTCTGTTCTTATTTTAATAAGTAAACCTACCTTCTATCTCAGTAGAAAAGATTTCATTTTCAAGAAGGTAATTTATTAAAATTCAGTTGAGTAAATCCACTTTGATTTAGTTTATTTACTTTAATATTTTGGGAATATTGTCAGTCTAATCATGTCTTTCCTAAAAAAAAAGTTTTACTTAGTAAATTCCTGTGCTTGCTTAAATGAATTTATCCAATTATGAACAAATAAAATCCACAGATAAGTTACTTCCTCAGTTTTAAACTTCAAGAAGAAAACCTCACTTATCTTACAGATATAGGAGTTTCATCTAGTAAACAAATATTTTATTGGTTAAAATGATTAATATCATCAGTGTGATGAAAACTATTCAAGCCAAATATAAACCTGTTAATTCTGTGTGAACCAGTAAGATTAAAACTTGTCAGTTAACTAATAATTATTATAAACAGTAGCAATTATTACCTTTGTGTTTTTTCAATATACTGCTAAACAGAAATTCAAGATATAAGCCTTAAACATCTAACTAGGAAATAAAATTAATACACATAAAAATGTAAATACAAAGAAGTAAAATTATACTTATTCATTATTGGTACAGATTATATGGGTTGTATTGACTCAGAAAGGAGACTGATCAATAAAGCCAAAAGAAAGATGTTATAGTGAATTTTTCTTGAATTTAATATTTAAGCCTGAAAAGGGTCAAAAAAAGAAATGAGTGTCAATTTTGGGTAAGAAGAGGCCTTAGAATTAATTCATTCCAACTTTCTTACTTTAGAATTGTCAAAAACAAGAGTCAAATGCTTACTTAAAAAATATTTATTTCAGGAGTGCCTGGGTGGCTTAGTCAGTTGAGCATCCAACTCTGATCTCGGCTCAGGTCATGATCTCACAGTTCATGAGTTCAAGACCCACGTGGAGGTTTGTGCTGACAGTACGGAGCCTGCTCGGGATTCTGTCTCACTCTCTCTGCTCCTCCCCTGTTCACACATGCTCTTTCTCTAAAATAAATAAATAAACAAACAAACTTAAAAAATATATTTATTTCAAAATAATCCAGTGAGTGACAAATAGTGGAGTTATAAATGAAATGGTGATGGGTATATGTGGGGTGGTCATTATGTTATTACTTCCACTTGTGTATATATTTACAATTTTTCCGTGATTAAAAGTATAAAAAAACAGAAAGACAGAAAAATAAAAACTAATTTTCAATCAAGATCAGAGATACTAAGTAATTTTCCTAAGATACATTGATATCCTTGCTAAGCCTTGAATTCTAGGAAGGATTTAAAGCAAGGAGAGCAATCTAGTCATATGAGTGAAGAGGACCATATGAGCAAAGGCATCAGGTACCATATAATCTTTAATTGTTGTGACAGAAAAAGCCATGCTGTTAATTTGTGCAAGAGAGAAAAGAAATAAATCATGAAAAGATATCCCTGCATTGATAATAACTATCTGGATTGTCTTCATGTAGTAGGTGGCCTGTTCCTGTCTTAGCAATGAACACTGCTTGGAAAAGTGAAAAACATGGAGACTTCTTATCTTACAGGACTGTAGTACTGCCTTCAGATTCATAAAATGCTACTTGGTTGCTCTTTCTGGAGACATTTATTTTAAGGCTTTATATATTCTAGATATACATAGTGTACAAATGTCTTCCTCATTGTGAATTTATACAATTTCCCCAAAACTGAAATCTTTAAAATTAGTCCCCCCCTTCCTGTGACTCAATTTCTTTGTCAACTCATTTTGTTCTTTATGAAATCTATTAAACCATTCTTAGGAATACTTACTGGCAAGAATGTATTTGAGGAAAGACATTGGCTAATCTTTACTCTTCATACTATATGAAAATGAACTTAAATTAGAGGATGCACTATATCTGCAATGCATGATAAATACAAGATGGATAGAGAATCTGTTCAGCGGTGTCAGCTACAAAAGCAAACATGATAAATGTTAATGCAGTTTTGAGCCCTGGGATAAGCTATTCAGTGCACAAGCATAGCTGAATCTCTTTGCTATGTTGTTATTCATGGCAGCCAAATAAATGTCAATAATAAAAGAGAATTAAAGATTTTCATTTCCCAGAGGCAATCCTCTAATACGGCTTGATCTTTCATTTCATTTGTAATTCGTTCTCATGTCAGGATGCAATCATTCGCCAGGCTCTGGGTGTCATGTTAAGTCATTTAATAATGATTAAGAACATAAAAATGCTTGGCCTGTGGGGCAATTCACAGAAGAGATGCCAATTTGTTATTGTTTTTCCTCCTTTGCTTTTGAATATGGATCAGCTTTTTCCCACCTCCTAGCATTAAAATACTAATGGAGAATGGGGAGGGAAAGTATCCCTTAATTTACCATAAGTGACATTCCAGAATGGCACAAGGCAGTGCTAACACACTTATTAAAACACTAATTAGGAATCATTGTTCCTTAAACCTCACAATGTGGAGTATTTTTAAATGATCACTGCTAAGTTTGTGTCATTTAGCAATAATGTAACAAAGTCAGTTTTCTTGGTATTTAATTCTAGAGACGTTTCTCCTTTTGAGATATATATGGTGTCTATAAGCCACTTTCTGTTATTTTATACATGTAGTTCTTTGAATTCCTCTTTGCTAAATTGTCTGTGAATCTAAAGTCTTTAACATCCTGTTTAGTCACCTCTATTTCAGTTGAGTCTCCATTTTGTATATCCATCTGCCGAGAAGTTTTGTCACATATCAACCATTGTATCATTGCTTGCAGGCTAATTGAGTTCCAACCTTTTTTGGGGAAGTGCTGGGGTGGGGGTGGCAGGGAGCACTGGAAAGTAATAAGAGTAAGAAGCCAGGAATGACAGGCAGGAAAGAATATATGATTCTATACACTTTGAATCTTTTAATAAATGTTGAATGAACCTGTTAGGTAGCACAAGAGTCAGGTCAAGGAAGTCATTCCTGTGTCTATAAACTGTAGAAAAACTAAGACTATAGATTTTTATTTCCTACTGGACAGCAATTACTAATGAGATCTTCATATATCAATACCTTATTATATTAACAATTGTAGTAAAAATGAATATTTTATATACATGCATATATACAGAATACATACACATATACAGACATATATGTCTTTATAGAAAGTTTATATTTCTCCAGGTTTCTGTACTACATATATCACTAAAAGTTGGAAAAAGCAATAGGATTTTTATTCTAAATTGAAAATAATGCATTTCACACTTTTGCTCTTATGTGACACAATGAAATAGGTCCACTCCAGAATAAATTGTAGACTTTTCTGAATACTTTCAGAATTCTTTCTGGTATGTTTGAATTTTGATTTTTGCCAAACGGAAGAAAATAGATTAGGTCAAAAGTTTCATGTGGAAGACAGGGGCTACCATGTCAGAATCACCTGGTGGGCTTTTGATAAATATAGCCCTGCCTTCATAGAAGTATGTTCACTTCAACTTGATACATCCCTATGAAGAGTAGTAGAATATACATCCTTGAGAAGATGTATGAGAATGGGGTTTGTAGAGTGTGAGGGAAGTGGAGTATAGGGTTGTGTATTGTTGT